GTAAGTGTGCTAACGTGAGTCTGGACGCACCACACACTTACACGTTAAAGTATTTACTTGGGTTAAGAAAGGCAACGAAACTTTGGGTTTGTGCTGAAGTTTAGCCAATGATTAAATCTTCACTACATTAACAACACGCGGCACTCCTATCTTAGTGTCATGAAACATACTCACAAATTACTGTCTGGAGAATAACAACTATACATAATTTGTCATTAAACCCAGAGAAACAACCCACTCAAACAACTATTGAATCATTGAATAACTTGTCTTGACTCCTGAGGACAATAATCTACTCCCTTAAGGCGACACTGTACTCACAAGGTTAAGTCATCAGGCAAAGAAGTTAATACGCATTTTTCCTAACAGGTAAAACAGGTAAAATTCACACCAAGATCCTGTTACTACTCGTCAATAATCTACTCCGCATATTGCAAAAATGACGACAGACCTACATACACGCACGTCCTGGCAGAGTAAATTTCAATAATCAAACTAATTAAAACTGTTTGAAAGATTTTGGGGCAAGTCTTCCCTCCTCTTTGATGTTCCTCGGGTGAAGGGCTCAGTTCTTGACCCATTATGTTGAAAACAGTTTGATATATATATATTGATTTTTGAGGGCAAGATGTTATTATTATTATTATTATTATTTTTATTTTTATCGTTATTATTATTATTATTATTATTATTATTATTATTATTATTATTATTATTATTATTCGTGTTCGTATAAATTGCAGCATTTTTCTATAATAATACTCGCAGTACTATCATCACTTATCATTACAGTCATTGTGATTCTTATTATTGCTATAACTGTATTATTATATTCATTATCATCATTATTTTTATTACTACCACATAAAGGCGACACACACACACACACACGCATGCCTTGAGTGTTGTCCGCTGATAACATCTGTGTGTGGTGAGGGAAGGCGGTTCCTCCTCGTCTGCCTCATTAATCAGGGTTATCGCCATTAATGTTTAACGCTGGTAATGTTCAACGCTGAAAAGGGGGATTTTGAACACGTCTAGCGATGATTTACACCTCTGAGATTCAACGCTAGTGGTGTTCATTTATGGCCGTGTCTAAAACTGGTAACGTTCGACGCTGCTACTAAAGTTGAACGCTGGTATAAAGGTTGAATGTTGCAAAGGTTCAGTCACTTAAAATCATCATTTTTAGTGTTCATCGCTACTGAATTTAAACGCTGTTGAGTTAAACAAAGCTTAGGTACAGCGTGTCTCTGGTTCAACGCCAACTGACTCAACAACGCTCAACGCCAACTGACTCAACAACGCTCAGGGTACACCTCGCACGTCGCTATAAACGCTGGTGTTCACTTGTCCACAGTTAATCACGTTCATCACTCAGATATCCATCGGTGTCGCTATTCAAAGCTTTGGGGTTCGGCGCTGGCGAGACTCAACGCCTTTCCGAGCTACTATTAATGACGAAGACGCTCTGTTGAATTGTCACCATAGGCTTTTATTAATAGTAGTAGTAGTAGTATTTTGCTCAATACCAATAATAATAGTAGTAGTAGTAGTAGTAGTAGTGCCATTATACCTCAACGTCTGCTACTCTTAAGTGGTAACAATTCACTACTTCCCTGCGTTTGGAGGTAGAGTGACGAGCGGTGTAGTGGCCCTCAGGTGAACGCTCCGGAAATTAACTCAGGTCAGCTGGAAAGGGGATTTGGTCAAGTGTTTAGAATTGAGGATGAGGTGATTAGGTAAAGTGATTAGGTGATTAGAGACTACTTTATTAGGTTAGGTCATGGAAGTGATTTAGGATAGGAAATTCGTTTCTGAATCATTTATCAGATTGGTAAAGGTGATAGAATTTCATTTCACTTCTGATGTGTAAACGTGAAAGGAGAGAGAGAGAGAGAGAGAGAGAGAGAACTACCATTGGTGCGGTAAACAGAATCTGATAGAGGGTCGCTGATGAGATGAATTTCCTTGGTCACATTGCCTTGGGTGAAGGAAGCCTCTGGCACATAGATCCCGTCTCCTCACCACCGCCAGTGTCCGCTCCTCAAAGATCTCTTTCTTTCTTTCTTTCTTTCTTTCTTTCTTTCTTTCTTTTTGAATTTCGGGGTGAAGTTCGCGCCTCTCTCTATCTCGTCATAACTTCAACTCCTCGTTCACTTTGGAAGCTCCAATTGGGTGGTCGGAGCTGGGTTATTCTCACTCCTTCGTTCTTTCTCTTTCGTTCTCTCTATTTTCCATTTTCTTACCTTGTCTTTTCTTTCTGGTTATCACTATCGCTTTTTTTCTTCTCTCTCTCTTTGTCACTCCTCCATTTATCTTTCCCATTCTTTCTTTTCCCTCATGACGGAACAGTTACTCGACCAGCTCACGTAAACACACCTTGCCTCATCTCTTCCATATCCACACACACAGTCAGTCGATCTTTTCCTTATTTCCGCCTCTCTCACTCTCCTTCCCTATTCCACCTTTCCTCCTTCCACTACACGACCTACTTGTTTCTCGCTCATTAGTTAAGGGTTATAAACCTTGACACTTGATGGGCCGAGTTTAAGTCCTTCATCGTTGACTTCTTTTAATTCTTTACGTTAAAGCTCTCTCTCTCTCTGGATAATGATCATATTAGTTAATTATTATTATTATTATTATTATTATTATTATTATTATTATTATTATTATTATTAACAAGGACTAACACACAGCTCTATAAAAACCTAACCTAACCTAACCTAACCTAACCTAACCTAACCTAACCTAACCTAACCTAACCTCCAATAATCCTCTTATGCCTTCTCTTTAATTATTATCTTTGTCTCTCTCTTCCTAAACCCTCAGCCAGGAGGGTTTGAAAGAAGGGTTCACTAGTTGAGAGAAGGGTTCACTGGCTGAGAGAAGGGTTCACTGGCTGAGAGAAGAGTTCACTAGCTGAGAGAAGGGTTCACTAGCTGAGAGAAGGGTTCACTAGCTGAGAGAAGGGTTCACTGGCTGAGAGAATGGTTCACCGGCTGAGAGAGAGAAGGGTTCACTAGCTGAGAGAAGGGTTCACTGGCTGAGAGAATGGTTCATCAAGGAGAGAAGGGTTCACTAGGCTGAGAGAAGGGTTCACTGGCTGAGAGAAGAGTTCACTGGGCTGGAGAGAAGGGTCTACTAGCTGAGAGAAGGGTTCACTGGCTGAGAGAAGGGTTCACTCGCTGAGAGAAGGGCCTTCATCAGCTGAGAAGGGTTCACTGGCCGAGAACGGTTCACTGGCTGGAGAGAAGGGTCTACTGGCTGAGAGAAGAGTTCACTAGCTGAGAGAAGGGTTCACTGGCTGAGAGAACGGCTCACTGGCTGAGAACGGTTCACTGGCTGAGAGAACGGTTCACTTCGGCTGAGGAGAACGTCTCACTGGCTGGAGAAGGCTCCATCGGCTGAGAGAACGGTTCACTGGCTGAGAGAGAAGGTGTCACTGGCTGAGAGAAGAGTTCACTGGCTGAGAGAACGGTTCACTGGCTGAGAGAAGAGTTCACTGGCTCAGAGAACGGTTCACTGGCTGAGAGAAGGGTTCATTGGCTGAGAGAAGGGTTCACTGGCTGAGAGAAGGGTTCACTGGCTGAGAGAAGGGTTCACTGGCTGAGAGAAGAGTTCACCGGCTGAGAGAAAGTCTCCGTGACCGACTTTTCTCGCTCTAAAGGTTCTCAAAAGCTCGTGTTTTGCCGTTTTCCTGTCTGGTTCTCTTGCTGTCTGTCTGGTTCTCTGTATGTATGTCTGTCTGTCTGTCTGTCTGTCTGTCTGTCTGTCTGTCTGTCTGTCTGTCTGCTTCTCTGGCTGTCTATCTGTCTGGTTCTCTGGCTGTCTAACTGTCTGGTTCTCTGGCTGTCAAACTGTTTGTCTGTGTGTGTCTGCTCCTCGTTCTTCTGGACAAAATTATGTTAGAAACTAAGAATTTTATGTTAAGTATAAGATAAACAACCTAATGGCCCGCTTAAAAATACAATTACTATTACTTATTGGAGACAGACTGATACTATGACTACTGGTGGTCAGGAGTATCACTGTCCCTGAGTAGTCCCAGGTCAGTTTACTCCAATGAGAGAGAAGCTTGTATCATGGTAATAGAGTTATTAACAGGAAACTGGGAGGATAAAGTACCAAGTTGCTGCTGACCATTATAGTATTGACTGCACACTGTGTGGCTGAACTTGAGAACTACCTATAGAGAGTGTGTTCTCTCTCTCTCATTTCTTCTCTTTACTATGATTTATTGTTATTTTATAAAAAGTTGCTCATAATTTAGGGAATTTAGTTTATAGTTAAATGACAGTAGAATAAAAGCAAAATCCTGGGATAATTTAAGTAAATATTTAAATCAGCGTCGTTAAAGTGTTAAATCATCGTCGTCAAATGGTTAAATAGCTTGTATCTGAGTCACCTGTAAGCCCTTCACACCGACGCTACTTCAGGATGATGTACTGTAGGAAACGTGATGCCAAAAAACAAAAAAAAATTGCAAGATTTTTTTTTTTTTTTAGTCGCGAAAACAATTTAATAATAATAGTATAGAAACGTATAGGTGCCACACAGTTGGTCATCAATATTCAGGACACCACACTCAAGTTTTCCTTTCCCTCGATAATCTATGTCTGGTTCAATGGCTGAGTTAGATTGAGTATTTTCTTATATTATTTTTCATTCCCTGAAATCCTTGGACCTGAAACTAATGAATTGTCCAAACACAGTCTCGAGCCTGACACAATTACGAGACATCCTGGAGCGTTACCAGTTGTCACATGTACACACGGTGAGGTACAATAGGTGTATTTCCACCGTTTTGTCTCGAGTTTGTGAACCTACTACGCATTTACAGCGGACTCGGGAGCCCTGACTGATCCAGGGTTTTTTTTTTCAGTGCAGGGCCAGACGTCTATGTGGGGCCAGTCGTATATTTGGGGACTGTGGTCTATGTGGGGCCAGTGGTCTATGTGGGGACTGTGCTCTATGTGGGGACTGTGGTCTATGTG